ATAGTCAACCCCAGTATTGCTGCTTTCCCCGTTTTCATTGCCATCAACATCACACGGCTTATCCTCCTCCAAATCTGATGCTGCTTTATCAAAAGTTGTCAGATTATCCAATTCCTTCTCCTCTCTTTCAACTTGTTCCAACGTTTCCATTCCATTACCCTTCTTCTTCTCATCATCTTCTTCAGCTTTTCCGCATTCTTCGTCAACGGCACTATCCTCCACTTCAGAACTCGTGTTGAAAATCAACGTCATGTCGTAGTCATGTACAACTTCTTGTGACCGCGTGCTCGCTGCTGAGCCTCGTTGTTGTTGTTGCTCAAAAAACAGCCCACCCAAGATGTTCCAAGTACCTTTTCCGTCCACATGAGACCACGGGCAAAAGTCATCGGTCAGTTTAGGTCTATTAAACTTCTCATTAAATAGGAGGGAAAGGTGGGCGAGGTAAGAGGAGCCCCAGAGTTTGGAATAGTGCTCAGGTTGGTAGAAACTGTACCATGGACAAAGACTCGATGTTTGTCTCGATTCAGGCCGACTTTGCATGGAGTGCAACACATCACCAGTGAACAAAGTGCTGTACAGACCATAAAATTCCATTTGAGTGTACCGATCACCGATAAGTTCGCAGAAGTAGAACACTGACGGGGTATTGGCATTGGGACTATCAGTTGGACTCCAAATATTGATACGTTGCATTTCCATGTATCCTACATCAAGAGAAGATGCAAAGAAGTCTACAAGAATGTCTTTGTGATTTCTTGTTTCTTGTAGATTCACTATATGCACTTCCTTTGCCACCTACTTGTAGTCCTCCGTTTCCAACAAGAAGATATATGTTGCTCATTGTCAACCGACGCCATGCATGCTCAAGGGTCAAATGGTGTCCATTTACAACCAAACCTGTCAACATTCACGCCGTTCATATTGGCAGACTGGCTAGGTGTGCAAATTCGTTGTTTGTGTCATTGAAATTTAGATTTTCGATGAGAAGCGGGTAGGACCTTGCTACATCTAGCAGACTGCAACAGCTGCAGTTTAAAATAGCTAGAAATTTAACTAGTCTGTGTTCAAGCATCCCAAGTGCTAATAAATGGTGCAAATTAGTGCGCTTTTCTAATAGCAGAAGTCGTCTTGGTTCTCTACTCCACTTTGAAGCATGGAATTGCTTGAATCAATGAAAAGATCACGTAAAAGCAGGCTGTCTAAATTTTGTACGTTTTTTATGTAATTTTAGCGGTATACATTTCTCATATTGGCTACATCAAAACACAGATGGCCCATTAGATCAACATCAAGGATGCAGTGTCTTTTAAGATTTGCCTTTAAGCCATCAGCACTTGATGGTGTCTCAGACCTCACTCCCAATTGGGACGTTTTCGGTTAATTTAATGGATCTAGCCCACACAAAGAAATTATTCCCAAAATTGTAAGAAACTGCAAAAATTGAGGGGTCACTAGGCACCGGTTCTCAATCAGACTTTCAACGCTCATGGATAATAGATTGACTTTACTGTTCAAACCATCAGATATACTAAACTCCTAAAATAGGCTATCTGATAAAATAGCTTTCAATATATTAGGCTGTAAAGAAAAAAATTGATACTAGAAGCAAATTGTTTTAGGGTGCTGTGCAGACCAGACAATTACAGACTAAGACGTGTTCTTAGTGAAGAAGATTTTGACTCAGTGGAAAATAACCAGAATGTGTGCATCTAGCGAAATTGATACAACGGTACAATTCATTCATTTGTGCTTACTTGTGGTCCCCCCATGCTATGGCTAATTTGCCAATTTCCTTACACCTTCCCACCATAAGGTCATCACCCATTCCTTGTCATATTACAAATAAATTATTTAAAATGAATGTTGTAAGCAATTCGGAGCTGAATGCATTTATACTTGGTTAACTTGCTTCACCAAATTAAAGCAAGCTCATGCACTACCACAAATCAACTAGACATAGGCACATACATTTCGACGTTTGCCTCCAAGGTTAATTCGATGCACTTTTAAAAACAGAGAACTAAATAGATGACTTCGTCAGCTGTAGTGTTATGCACAAGTATTAAAAAAAATAGTGACATCAGAGCACAGGGGAAATTTAGGCTGTGTAATTTATTCTCAATCATGCTCCTTCGCGAACAATAACAACCATTTGTCCACTGACTTGCCACTACAGGCGTGACTTTTGTAATGCTTGACGCTACCACCTAAAACTAAGCCTACCCTGAAAAATCAGTGCTCATTTTCAAACCCGACTAGCGCCCATAATTAGCCAGCCATAACTGTATACAAAACAATTTAAGTCGACAGCGTCATACTCTCCGCCGTAAGTCGATCAAGGTGGTCTTAATTCCTGTCTACAGGTTTAACCTAGAGGACTCAATTTACATTGGAATTGCTTTAAGATAACCCAATACTAACTGAAGCACACCAAGCCAATGGCTTAATTTTAATCAGCTTCCCTGTAAAAATTATCGATTTCCTGTGGCTCAGGAAAAAGTAGAATACACAGCTGCTCAAAGACATGCAACAGCTCAATCGGACAATTGACGTCTCGAGGAAGTGTCAAGCATTTATAATCGCTGTCAATAAGCAGTCGACAACGGTACCTAGTTAATGTGTCGGTTTGTACGAGTCTCCATAAGACCTTCGATTGTGTGTCCTCAAACGAACAAAAATGTCTCTCACATGAAGGACGAGACCGTTGTCGGTGGAGCATCAATCGTTTATTGAACCGACATGTGAATATCTATTTTGTCTGCCTTACCTTAATACATATAAATGCGCATTGCATTCAAATGATGCAATACTCGTCACTAGGTTCAGTGTGATTATTACAGTCGGTGGAATGCAAAATAAGTTTCTATCAGGTTGAAAAGTGAGGAGGTGGGGTGGTGAATGAGATTAATCTATGTAAGCTCTCTCAACTTCGAAACTCTTCTAGTGCATTGTACTCTCTCTGAAAAATCAAAAGTACCCATCAATTCACTCAGGGGTAGTAGCAGACTATGGGAAGAACTACAAATCTGCCGTGTCTCCGGTTCATCGGGCTTAAAGGCCGACTCCTCATCTGTGAGTTAAGCAATTCGTACCTATGTTATTCATTTCGAAGACTTGGGCAAACTGTGCCATCATTATTGTAGATATTGCAATAAAAGACTGGCGTATTGAAGCGGACTTCAGGACCGGATGAAATAGGCTAAAGGGCGATCAATCAGTAAGGCATCAAGAAATCAAAATCAACAAAAGAACTTTATGTCACGTTGTCACTAATGCATCATACGGACGCTTCGCGGATCTTCATTCGACTTGAACTGAAGAGTTAGGCTTTAGCATCCTGTACAGTAGCTCTTCAGATTATTTTTTTAGACTGTGCAGCAGCCACCCAAGAGAAATCTCGCCAAATAGAAAGTACACAGCTGGGCAGGCCCAGTATACAAACTGTGACCTGCTGAAAGTGTTCTGCAGACGGTCAATGCGTTTTGGCATATAGAAGGGTTGAGCAGCTTTCGCAAACGGAGACTTACAGGCTACCGCGAAAAGCAGGAAAACAAAAAAAGGTGTATTCTGAAAAAGAGGCAGCAAGAATTCTGAAAAGAGTAGGCTAACAGAAACAGCCAAAATCAAATCTCATCCAAGTCGGTGAATGGGAAAAAGTGTCGCGAGATGTCCCCACCACTGGTTGGTGGCAAGCAGAGAAGGAGGTTCAGCAGTCTCCTACCCAACCAAAGGGGCCACAAATCAATAAGTGGCGACTGTCCGCATCCCAAACTCCAAGGCACCAACACAAATACCGACATGGATTCACACATTAGGGATGGCTGGTGACGAGATACGCCCAATGACGAGTATGCCTCGATTCGAGAGAACCAGGCCAACCAATTGGACACAAAGCCGGTCACAGTGAGGAATCGCAAATAACCCGGTTGCGGATAGACGTGCTCCTCCACATCTTCCTCCGCGTCCTCATCTTGACGAGGAATGGGAACGCGGTAGAAGGGGGAAATGGCGTCAATTGGGGTCATCCACAGAATACCAGTCAAGTGAGCTTTTGGTTCCACGGAGTGTCGCATCAAATTGAGCAGTGGCGACAGCGGTGACAAAGCCTGTCAAAATAAGATTTGCAAATAAACATCGAGGACTAGAACCAAAAATGTTGAGCTTGTAGTATGCTAGGTATTCAAAATCAAGTTACACTGTATAATAAAAACAGGAGTACACCACGTTTCAGCAGTTGATCAAAGATAAGAAGGTGGCAATTTACCATGGGGTCAAGAAGAACGAGGTTCTTCACCTCACGGTGTGCAGAACAAAATCTAATGACATCCGACAGCAGTCGTCCGGCACTAACTCGCCAAGGCGGGATTCTGATTCCATTCATAGACAGCTCGATATTCTGTTGTGGCGCAAATCGAAGGGGCCACCGTGTCTGACGAAACATCCAATGCCACCGTGGAAGCAAATAAGCATTCATTGATATGGCCGCTTCATCGAAATCATAAGGAAACCTCCAGGAGTATTGGGGATTTGGAAATTCGTATGGTGTGCTGTGATAAGTTGTCGACGAAGTTGTTGAGGAAGTACCATTGAAAGGCATATTTCGCACCTTAGGTTTGACCGCTGGCAGCCGTTCTACTTCATCACGATCACTTTCTTCTTCATCTTTGTATTCAGCACCAAAAGCCAATTCACTTGATTCGACAATTCGAGGTGAATATTCCATTTCTGCATCGACAATGCTGTCGCCTCCCATTGGAGGGCTTTCAATAAAAAGCTGAGCCAGATCTTCACCATCATCGTCATCAAGAGAAACATCACTTCCACAAGGATAGATTCCCTTTTCACAAAATAACATATTAAAGAGGTTTAGAGTACCGAGTCCATCTTCCCTGGACCACGGACAAAAGTCCGCAGTCAACGAAGGCCTCTGTGGTTCCGTGAATGTGAACAGATTGGTCAGATTGAAGACAGAATCCGCGGCTCGGGAGGAGGGGTAAGATCTGTGATAGAAGAGATACCAGGGACAAAGCGAGGAGGTTTGTCTGGATTCAGGGTGGACCTGCATGGCGGGCAAAACGTCGCCAGCGAACAGCGTGCTGTAGAGATCACCGAGTTCACCTCGATAATCAGGATTACCAAGGAGCTCACTGTAGTAGAATACTGAAGGAGGTAAAGGTTCGTTGTTCACACTTGGGTGGCCAATGAGGATGCGCTGTGTCTTAAAGTAGCTGCAATAGTAATGCTGCGTGTAGTATGGACACGACGACGTGCCACTCAGAGAATCGAGAGGGAATCGAATTTTGGCGAAAGAAGGAACAGAGTCGGAGGAAGCCTCCGAGAAGCGGCGATGGGTCTTCTCATCTGCCTCAATCTGTAGACAAGTACAATTTGAAGAAACGCACAGGTGCAAATTACAAAAACAACTCGAATGAAGTCATTGTTTTAAAGCGGATTTGACAAACCCATCATGACCTGAACTCGGATCACGCAAGCGCCAATCAATGGCACCAAACACTTTGTCGGTAAGCAGCAAAATAATGACCCATCTGGTACTAGTAATTCACGCCAAACCACGATGCTATTATGACCATTGACTTGCGTCATGTGCGTAGGTAGTAACGCCAGGAAGAGTCTCAATGCGCTTATTCGGCTCCTGTTGGGCCTCCACATGCACCGCATCTCCGGCGTCGGTTGAATCGTCGTCAAGCTCTTCGTCATCAACAGGCAGGCATCCATTGGCCTCTGCCCACTCGCACCAGGCTTGGTTAGGCGGGAACCGCCGCCCATTTACACGCAGACCTGCCAGAAACCGAAATGTCATTTTCGTGTAAAGCTTCTCATTCGTTGCAAATTGGTTGTTTGCTGACTCAAAATTCGGATGTTCAATTAAGCAGATGAGGGCCTTGACCACATCCAACAGGCTGTAACAGCTAAAATGTAAATGTACCGAATCGCCAACACACCGGCTTATGGACGCGTCGAGCAAAATTACACAACTAGCTCCAACAAGCAGTTTGAGCTAAATTTCTTGAATTTACAACAAGTGAAAGTGGAGAAGTGTTGAGGCCTTGAGGAAAATTGCAATGAAATGGCTGTCACAATTAAAAAGTCGTGCAGATCCATTCAATTAAACCAATGGCCCCTTGCTTATGGACATTTGCAGACAGAAGGCCTCAAGTGGGGATTCAATTCTGGGTAACGCAGCACTTAAGTCTACTGTGCACTTGTCAATAACCTCACACCTGTTATTTGTACGCATGACTTTAAAATATGTGCGCTCAATAATCTAAATATAAACGTGACGAAAAGAACAGGCCAGCTGACTTAATTTTTCGCGCTTATTTTAAAACGTACCTATGCCATTCTTTGAGAAGGCTTAAGCAAATGCCACCATCACTAACGTGGATATTTGGATGAAAGATTGGCGTAATGAAGCGGACTTCAGGACCGGCCTTGGGATAGGTCAAAGGGCAATCAATCTGTAAGGCATCAAAAAATATAAATGAACAACAAAGCATTTAGGATATTTTTGTTCATGCAATATACAACTGTTTACGAGGTTCAAAAATTTGCGACGTTGTTTTCACGAGACTTTATTCTTTAACGACTTGCGTAAAAGCTACTTCGATTATCACTTAGAACGTGCAGCCACGAAGACCAAAAACCTCGCACAGAAGAGCAAACCCACTAAAATCTGATGAAAGTATTTCGCAAGTGCACTTCAGTTATGAAACGAAACTAGTAAAAAGAAACCATGTACACCTCATCAACAACCACTTAAACTTATTTCGACTTCAAAAACCGTTAATTGTATCCATGATGCCATAATATATAAACGTGATGTGAAATTTGCAGTCACGACTGACTGTCTACATCCCATGTACTCTCAATTTTCAAGGCCGTCCGTATTGTATCAAAACACGCGCGGCTTCCAGAAATTGATCAAAGGGCCCAGTTCTTATTTGTACACCACATATTTAGTTATGGTATCCTTCAAAAACGCTCACATTGACAATAAACGCAGCGTGTGCATTGCGACCAAATTTAGGAGTCAACGACACAATCACTGAAAATTCATTCATGGACACTATGAAGGCTTGACTGTCAGTTGAGGTGTCAATCGTGCGATAGAGCTGCTGAACATCTTTGAAAAATGAGCGCTGACTCGTTGAATGAGACATTCTACGAAAAAAAAACACGAGATGGGGCAATATATTGCTTTAATAGGCACAGAAACGTGGTCACGGGTTCTTTATATAGTTGAAACACTATAATCGGCTTGTGTTCCTTCTATAAGACCAAGTAATTTAGAGGTCAGGTAGCTATGTAAAAAATATGTTGCAAGGAGAATGCAACAAGAATTTAGTGTTAGCAAATATATTATTGAGGATTCAAAGGTTTAAATCAAGCCAAAAAATGTGTTGCAAAGTCAAGTAACTTCTAAGATGAAACTTATGCATTTAATACACTATGTTCAAGTTAGAAAGGATGATCAGATTTTGTCAACTTAAAAATTGGAACGCCAAATACTCGATTAGGCAACGTATATAAAAAGTAGATTGTAAGAACTTTTCTAGATGTATAACAAACATCAGCATGTGACTAAATTGACATACAACCTATTGTCCTCGAGGTGGTGTGGTGTAGTGTGGCGTCGGATCAGGGCGCAGACATATTGGACCACCTGGCCTCAGCCAATCCTGTGTCTCTGC